AGCATGTGACTGAGCCCCAGTGTGTCTGCTCTAAGCTATGAATGACTGAGTGTGGGTGTTATGTACCTCTCTGTGTGATTTTGAAGTTGGATATTCCTAGGATGGAGGGGTCTACAAGCTGTGTATGTGCTCACCATGAATGCCCTGAGATCAGGATGTCACCCAGAGTACTTGTGGCTATTAAAAGAAGGCCAGCTGTCAGCCCAAGTGCCTATGGAACGGAATGTTGATGGCGATTAGAGAAGGCCATATTCTGGAACACTGGAAATGCCATATGCGCAGGCCCCCAGGCAGCCTTTCCCCTCAGCTGATAGCTTCTCATCCTACTCCTCCTCTCACACCCACATAACATCCTAGGTCAGCTCCTGGGCTATCTCAGGCTTCCCCAGTCAGCCTGAGACTAAAGGCACATTCCTGCCTTCCTTCCCTAGTGCTATGTCCTTGTGTGCTCAAGAGAGGGGGACTCTGGGTTATTACCTGAAGCTGGGGAGATTTTGCCTCTCCCAGTATTCTCCCAGGGGGCACTGCTCTCTGTCCTGGAGCCTCGGCACTATGCACGGTCACTAAGTCCAGGACAAAGGCCTGGCAATGACCTCTAGGCTGGCCAGGCAATGATGAAAGGCAAAGTGCTGGTCCTGGAAGGGTGTTGGGCTGAGGCAGGGCATGAGCAGGGAGGGCCAGCCATCAACAGTCAGCAAACACCTGTGATAAGCACTGCCGTGGAGTGGGGGATAAGCACACAGGGTCCTGAAGACAGAGGCAAGTCCCAAGGCTCCCCAGGGGAGGTGGAGGTGAAGGGGCAGTGGAAGTGGGGGTGGGGCGGTGGAACATTGAGTCCTTCAAGCCAAGGAACAGCCTGTGGGAGTACAGGGGGCACAGGGGAGGGAGCTCAGCATGTCCCAACATGGTATGTCTCTGTGACCCTGGGGACTGGCAGTGGGAGACATAGCAGAAGGGAAGAAGGCAGAAAGTGGTAGGAGCAGTCCCAATTAGGAACTGGCCTGAGGGGTTTCCAGACCTGACCTGGGACAGGGAGCCCTGGGAAGGGTTGAATCAGCTTTGCAGGGTGAAGACCAGAGGAAGCTTATGCCCTGACACAGGCAAGGAATGACTCATTTAAGAGCAGCAGAGAAGCCAGAAGATTGGATGGTAGGATAAGAGTGAACTCAGTCCAGACCCCAAGAGTCCAAAAGCCTGAGAACCATCCCAGGGGACACTTTGCAGGCAGCGTTGGATATTGCTGCCTCCTACTCCAAGATGTGCTCTCTGGAAAAGCCCATCCCAGATCACCTCTTGGTGACCCAGGGTGTGGCGGGTCATCAGGAGGCTGCTCCCAGTGGGGTGTTCCTTGGGCTAACCAGACATGTGCTGTTTGTTTGCAGACCAAGGGGCTGCTCCCCAGCCTGGATCCCAGGATGTAGGATGCCCATTGGTTCCTCCTTTCTTCTGGGACATGTCCAGCCCTCTCATACATGCAGACCCAGGATTACCCTGTAAGTCTGCAGACCTTGGAAATGGCCCTGTCACCTGTGCTGTGCCGGACTCATGGCCCCGCTCCCAAGTCCTCTCCTAGCTGGCTAAGTGCTCTGCACCCACTTCCCAGCTCAGCAGCTGCACCCCAGGTTCAGCCCACAGGGTGTGTGCCCAGGCTCTCCCTCTTCCAGGAGTCATCTGCCCCTCTTCAAATACTGTGTGCTGCAATTGTCCAGGCAATGACAATGGTGATGGCTCCGGGGGACACACCAGCTATTTATAAATGATGCATCTTGGCCAGCCTCTGTGCCCAGGCTGGGCATGTCACTAGCACAGGAAGGCCAGTCCTGTGTCTCTCACTGCCAGCAGTCGAAGCTGAGCACAGACCTCACTTTGTGCACTGGAAACCCCCACCTTGGGCTTCTTCCCTCAGCATATGTCCCCACTGCAGCCCACACTACTGGTCCTGTAGCCATTTGTAGACACACACTCCCATAGGCACCTATTTGTATGCACACCCCGCACATGCATCTGTAATTTGTTTCAAATTCATGGTTGAAGTTGATCCTAGGACTGTGTGGCTCTGACAGGGCATAGGAAAATAAAAAACAGAAAAGGTCTCCTTGGACAAACACGGCCCCTTCCTGTTGGTGCTGCGATGGGAGAGAGAACCGGGACCTGGTCTTCAATGCTTCCAGCAGCTTTGCTTCCTCCCTTTTCCCTGTCCCCTGCCTTGGGACTCTCACTCTGAAAACCCACCTCAGACTGCAGAGGGTACACAGAGGAGGGACAAAGGCCAGGCTGGCCTTCACCCCCACTTCCCAATGAGCAGCTGAGCCACGCCCAGCTGTGGGTACCAGCTGCTCTCTGACTGGCCTTGTTCTCCTATGGGAGGTAGATGGAGGGAGGCCAGCCATCCCCTTTAAGAGCATCTTCCTGCCCTGCTCCCCTTCCCCAGAGGCGAGCATTAGACAGGGGCCAGGGGCCAGAGTCCAGAGAAAGAGCCTGCAGCTCCAGGTACGACCTCCTCCAGCTCACTCTACCTACTCAGTCATGCCCTACTGCTAGGTATTCCCCAGCCCAGTGGGACAGGCACCCTAAGACAGGGGATAAGGCTAGTGCTAGGAATAGATGGCAGGGGCCTTGCAGGGGGAGTCAGGGAATGGTTTGGGGGAGGGACATGGGTGCTTGTCCTGAGCTGCTGACTTCCTAAACTAGGACAGGCTGGGCTGCATGACATAGGACAGAGGAGGTGGTGAACTGAGAGAACACAGGTTGCTCCCTGCCTGCTTCCACTTGATATTTTTGTGACCTTGGGCGAGTTACCAAAGAACACCATAATTTGGGCTCTCCTGCCACACACCTTGTATATACCAGGACCTGGTTATGAGGCTGTAGAGCTGGTAGCTGAAAAATTACTCACAGGCCTGCACTGACTCCTCAGGGGCCAGCAAGCAGCCAACCCAATTGCTTTCCCTGAGCCTCAGTTTCCCTAGCCAGGGAACCAGGGTGGGCCTTGATCTATTTCTGGACCACACAGGGTCTGAGGTCTTTCTTGGGAAATGGCTTGATCCAAAGACCACACTAGCAGGAGTCCTGAGGGGCTGGGGCTCCTACCCAGAACATGCTTGTCTCTGGGGTATGGGTTGAACATGCCACACACTCTTTCTCTCCCTGCCCCTTCTGGCCCCATATCCTAGCAGCTGAGTAAATGGCATCTCCTCCTCTCCTCCCTGCCCCTGCCATTCCTGCGCAAAGGGCACAGGGGCCTGGCGTGCAGCACTGGCAGCTGGAGCTTTCCATGCTGCTGTCAAGTTTTCCAGGGCACAAATGAGACAGGAAAGCCAGGAATAACTGGCTGGGCCTCCAGGAGGTGGGGGAGGTAGCAATGGACCTGTCCCAGACCTGTCTTCAGACCCTGTGCCAAGGGTGTAGTCAAGGGCCTAGTCCCCTGGGGCCACAGCATTGGGTGGTATCGGCAGCCTCCTGGGATCCCATTATCTGGCATGAGTTCCATAGGAAAGAGACTGGTCCACCCCCCATGTGACCTTGGGAAAGTCAGTTAACCTCCCTGAGTTGTCTCCGGCAGGCCAAGACGGCAGCCTCTCAGAATTCAAAGGGATAATGGCATAAAAGGGTCCACGCTGAACTTGGCCGTACCCAGAGCTATTGCTATTATATGATCATTTTTACAGCCCCAAAACTCTGGGCCACAGGTCTCCGAAACTGAAGACTTTTTCAGAACAGCTATAGGCTCAGCTCAATCCTAGGCACCTTCAGGGTCTCACATGGATAAGGCACAACCTCTGAGTTCTCATCAGGGAGCACAGGGCAGAAAAGCCCCTGCCCGGGTGGCTCAGTGCACCATCTTCTGGGCAAGGTGATGGGTACTACTGAGCAGAGGAGCGAGTATCTGGGCTCTTCAGAGGGCAGAGGGGACCACAGCATTATCACCAACCTGCCCAGTCCCCCCTGCCTACCCTTAAGGGGTGCTGGGTGCTGGACACTCCTCCCCAGGGGCTATATTAGCCATGTGAGTCACAGTGGACGGCTGGGAGGCTGCGGGGCGGGCGGGGACAGTGTAGGGTTACAGTCCATTTATGGGCGCAGCCGAGGGCAGATATCAGTGTCGATGGCATTCGCTCCCAGCTATTCTTAGGAGCCTCTCAGGAGCTCCACACAGCCTGGCCGGGCAGCAAGGGACTGAGCAGGCAAGGCTGGGGGTCTGGGGAAGGGGCAGAGGTGTGGGCTGGGGTGACGGGGTGTGTGAGTGCCCTCTCACTCGGCTCTTTCTACCCTTTGTCCGCAGAGGCGGCCGCTGTCAGCACCAGTATGTCTTACAGTGTGACCCTGACTGGGCCTGGGCCCTGGGGCTTTCGTCTGCAGGGGGGCAAGGACTTCAACATGCCCCTCACTATCTCCCGGGTGAGTGCACACTGCCCCACAGCCTGGCACCTGAAGGGGCGGGGCACGCTCAGAAGAGGACATGTGTGTCCGTCTGTCTGTCTGTCTTCTCTGAGGCTCTCAGAAAGCAGAACATGCCTCATCCTCAGTATGGGTGCCAGGGCTAGGCTGGTCCCTTGGTCTCAGCCTCAGCTGCTTGCCCACCTGAGCTAGCTGGCCTGTTATAAGTGCCAGACATCACGGGCAGGTGGCCCGTGTTTTGAGCAGGGAAAGAAATGTTTCCAGTGTGGGCAGACAGGCAGCTGGACAGAGAGTATAGCATCTTTGTAAATCCCTCCCTGGTAGGGTGGGCTCAGGGTGCCCCCAAGCCTGGAGCATCTCCCCAGAAGTGGGAAGCTGCTTTGGGAAGAGAAAATTCCCAGCATGGAGAGGGCAGGTGACAGGCAGGTGAATGGATGACACCTGGCTGCTCTGCTGTCGTGGCAGCACTCACTCCAGCCCAGACCTCCTCCCACTGCTGAGCAACTTCACACTGTCTGGCTCACGAGTCTGGGCCTTCCTCCCTGCCCAAGCTCCTTCTAATTCCCCATAGCTTGCTTTGCCAGCCTGTCTGTCTCATGTCTTATTCCTCCCACACGTGCCTAGGGACACGGCCCTCTGTCCTGCAGTGTCTGTAATTGGGAAACAGCACTGCCTGACTGGGCTCCACAAGCAGCTGGAGATGGCCATGCCCAGAGAGGCAGGAAGTTAGACATGCTCAGGAGGGAGCTCTCTAGGAGAAGAGACTGTTCGAACCACCTCTGTGGCCCTAGCCCCTCCTAGACCAGTGGTTCTCACCCTGTGGGTTGCGACCCCTTTGTTCGATTTGTAACAACACGGCAGTTAAGAAGGTTGAGAACCACTGTCCTAGACCATAGTAGGCACTCAGTCAGTATTTGTCAAAAAAGGAAACCCCCCCTGCAGTCACTGGCAAACTGGGGCTGAGGACTCCGAGGTTCAGGATGGACTACGGGACACCCAAGGGGCAAAGGCAACCCCCACCTGGCTGCTGGGCCCTGGCAGTGCTACTCTGGGCACAAGGGGGTAGGGTGAGGCCCCCAAGCTGTAACTAGAGGGTGGTAAGTGTGCAGTGGTATCAGGTTACTACCCACCAAAAGAATAAGGAGACAGTTTCTTCCCCAGGGCAGCAGAGACTGGCTGTGGGCCTGGGGCCAGAAGGGTGATTGTTGCGGGAGGCAGTGAGGTGGATGGCCAGGCCTGGCCTGGAAGGTGCTTGGCAGAGGGGCCAGGGAACCTGGGCAGAGGGTTAGGGGCCAATGCCCTCAATGAAGGAACAGTCCTGGCTTTGGAGCTTGGGGTTCCATTCATATTTTGGGAAACCCCAAGAAGTGAATGCCTAACCAAGGGATGCCTTGGGAGCCTTGTAACAGCTATAGGGGCCATATTCCTCCAGGCTGGTGCTGGTCTGGCTCTCCACTCTTCAGCTGGAGGTATGTCTCCACCCCTCTAGAGAGCACAAGGTCCCATACTAAAAGAACACTCCTAGACTTGCACACCTTGCTTGGTGATGGTGACATGTGGGTGTTTGAACTCCACTGGATACTGCTTACCCTGCACTCCCCAATCCTGCACCTGCAGGTCTCCTGCCTGTACAAGCTGGGGCCTCTACCTTCATTCTCACAGGCCCATGGCCTCCTGTACTTGGGATTGAGCCCACCTCTTCTCCAGCCCTACTGTCCTTGAGCCCCTCTGGTGCTCTTTGCCCCATCTGTGTGGGTGCAAATTAGCCACCGGGCTCAGTGGCACTCAGGATAGCCAGTGACCTCACTCAGGGCCTATGTGCCATCTGGCCCAAGCCAGCCAGGGGCTTAAATGGCAGCACAGAGGCCTTAAGCTAGATAGCAGAAGGAATGTCCTTACTGTGGGACGGGGTGTGTTGGGATGTACTGGATCCAATGACTAGGGGGGACTTTTAAAAATAGAACCTGAAGCTCAGGCAAGGCACTGGGGGATGGGCGTGAGTGCCTCTAGGCTTCTCTCAGGGACGCGCCCCAAATCACCTAAGCAGGCTGGGCTGAGTGCTGGAGCCCTCCCTAGGACTTGGAGCCCCTTGATGAATTTCTCTGCTGGAGCCACTAACACCTTGGACTCGGACATCCCAGGCTTGGGTATTGCTGTCCAGGCAGGCCTTATGGATAGACAGGGATAACAGGCATTTTCAGGGCTGTGGTATTTCCTAAAGATGTCCCACACCAGGGACATCCCTCTCAGGGGGGTGTGGAACCACAGCTTCCTGGAGGACCCCCACTTCTACCTTAGTCCCTTCCTGCTTACCACCTGGAACCAAGCCTCCTGCCTGAGTCTGTGTCCTACAGGGCACCAGAGGCAGAGGTACTGTGATGAGGGACTAGCAGAAGCAGAGCTTGCTCCTTCTCAGCAGGGTCCTGCTGCCCTGGCTGCAATCACTGCAAGTCTGAGAAGGGGCGGAGACCATCGGCCCACTGAGCCCAGCAGCCCAATGCTCACGTTTGCTCGTGTTGAACAGAAGTGGCCATGGGTGGAACTCCTGTGTCCCTCTCACCCCTCTGACTCAGCACTAGGGAAAAGGCACTGAGTGGGACCTGTCCCCTTTCAGGGGCTGGCCACCTGCCAGATGTGTGGCTCCTGTACCCCGCCCAACCCTCCCATGGCTCATGGCATCAACCCTTCAAATTTGTGGTAGCCCCACAAATTCTCCCTTCAGTGGGTCTCAACTGGAGGGCACACATACAAGGGGGCTCAGGAGGGAGACTGGGAGCAAAGGGTGGAGGGGAAGGGCCTTTATTTATCCTGGACAGGTGTGGCTGGGCCTGCAACATGAGCTGCTCTCTCATCCCACCTCCCCCACCCTGCTAGTTCTCCAGGAAGTGGAGAGGGTGGGAGCAGCTTCAACAGCCCAGGCCCCACCTCCTTTATGGAAGAGGCAGGTACTTTTGTTTGGTTCTGTTACTTTCAGCTGCATCACCTTAGCCAAGTCAGTTTACCTGCTCAGCCTTAGTTCTCTCACTCTTAAAATGGGGGTGGTCTGCATGCGTCAGAGTGCTGACAGGCACCTGTGGGGGTGCAATTCCCCTGCCCTTCACGGGGCTGGTTGTGAGGTAGGGGGAGTGATGTGACTGAGCCTGGGCCCAGCCTGCCTCTCCTCTCTGCTGGGGGCCACCCACCCTCCCCCCTCACCAAACCTACCACTTCCCCCCTGCTGGTTCTGGTTCCAGTATTTATCAGACTCTCCCAGTTACAGTGGGGACAGAGGGTCTCAGGGGCGGGGTGGAGGGGGGCAGGCATAGACTATTCTGGGGTAGCTGTGCTGGCAATTCCTGGAATTTCAAGGCTGCTGGAGCACAAAGTGCTGGGTTTTGGGCAGCGCTTAGCGGTGCTGACAGGCTGTGCTGCTGTTTATAGCCCCACTGAAGGTCAGGAGAGCCTCCAAGGGCTCCGTGGTGCCGGGCCGGGTCTCCCCCCAGCATCCATCTGTCAGCAGAGGAAGATAGCAGGCAGGGACTCACAGCTGGGAAATGCATTACTAGAGGTCCCCCAGGCCAGGCCCTCCCTGCTGCCAGAGCTGTCTGTGACCCTATGAGGGCTCTGATGGGAGTAGACTTGAGGCTGGCTGGGTCCTCAGGAATTACCTGGACCCTCAGAGGCCTCTGGGCCAGGATACAAGGCAAAGGCAGCTACAATGGCAGCCCCAGCTGCCTGGGCTGAAGGCACTGTGGGGCAGCCTGGGAGATGGGCCCCCAATTCCTTGAGTCTCCTTCCCCCTCGATATGGGCACTCTCATCTGGGGGTTGCCCCTGACCACAAAGGTCCCCCATCCCACTCCCTAAGCCTTTCTACTCCCAAACAGCTTCTCTGCCCCTTTGGAGCCAGGCAACATCTCTACCCAGGAATTATCCTGGGGGGCATGAAGTGGGCCTTGCTCGAGCTCCCTGAAAGGCAGCATCAGTGAGGGCGTTTCACTGGCCACTCTCAGGACACAGCTAAGACTGTGGTCCTAGACAGAGGAGGAAGGCAGTAGAGACTCAGAGGGCGAGGGGAGTATGACCAGCTGAAGAGGAGGCCGTGACCCCTGGCTTTGGACACAGGGATGTTGTTGGTATGTGTGGAGTGACGGGGACCAAAGGCAGATAGATGCATGTGAGGACTGGGGAGATGGTAGGGGCAGGACCTACGGGTCACTTCTCAGAAAGGTCTGGAGGCAAAGAAAGGAGAGAAACACAGCAGAAGCCAGTTGCAGCCACCGTCAGGAAGAGGCCTTTAGCTTATTAATTGGCCAGGGGGGGACAGAAGATTCTAGTGAGAGGGTGAGAGATGGGACAAGGCCTCAGGGGAGGCCAGATGGGAAGGGAGCAAGCCTGGCAAGACAGTAATTTAATCATGTGATGCTAAAATGCACTTGGGGCTCCCCTGGGGTGTCGGCCTAGGAGGGTTGGGAGAAGGAGCTGCTGAAGCTGCCCCCAGCCTGAGCATCGGCCATCTGCCCTTAGCACCCACCTCCACAGCTATACTGGCAGATCTAGAAGGGTGGGGAGGCAGAGGTCTGTCTGGTTTGGAGGACCAGGAGTGATAGAGACTTCTACAGAGCTACACTCCCTGCTGCCAGTCAACTGGGGAAATAAGAGCTGAGGGCATGGCTGCCCCTGGAGCCCCCACTGGCACCTTATTTCCCTGGGACCCTGGGCAGAACTTTGCTTCCCTCCCCCTGACACTCAGGCCCCTCTAGGGACAGCAGTCTGGCTCAGAACTGGTTGGTCAGGGCTGGCCCTCACCCTCCATCCTCTGCCAGCTGCGGATCTTATTTCCTGTGGAGCCTGGGGATGTGACCTGCCAGTCTCAGTCCCTCTGGCACTGTCTGAGGGTAACTCTTGCACTTCCTTGGTTTGGAGCTTGCCTGAAACTTTCTCAGCCCCACACCCTTCTTACATAATACCCCATTTAATAGTTTATTCCCATAATCCCAAGAGAAAGGCATTGTGGCTCTT